ACTGAACATCCCAGGGAAAACCAAGAGAACAAACAGATATGTCTTGAAGAGGGTGTAGCTGGAGGGTCCTTTGGAGGCAGTAATGATAAGGCATGTTGCTAGGAGGGGCTATTCCTTGGAGATGATGCTGGGAAGGGTAGAAGTTTGGCCAAGGAGAGGAAGATATCCTCACTAGGTGGATTGATGTGGTGACTGCTGTAGTGGGCTCTTGTGTGTCAGGTAGTGTGAGGATGGTGCAGGATAGAGGAGGGTTCAGATCTTTTGTTCCCAGTACTGCTATGAGTTTTACTTTACTCAACAGCACTTAACAACAACGGTATTTTTAGCTGATAAATATGATCCCTCTTAGCAATCACCTGGACCCACTGGAGTGGAGGCATACAATCATGAACAGATGTGTTGAGCTTGGGCATTTTCTTCTAGCACCATCCGCCTAGCAGGCACAGATGTACAGATATGCAAAAAAAGGCTTCTGGCTTGAGGAGCAGGGAGTCATGAGGACTTATGGCTTATCGTCTTGACCCCATGTTGGAGACTAAGGCAGAGTGAAGGGACCAAATTGTCTGGAATGCAGGGAGAAGTGTGGACTCCTGAGCTTGCCGCTGATGTCCACTTGGATTAGTTACAGATGGCTGAGGATGAGTGGACCAGAAGCCAACCATATGAAGAGAAGATGATCCGTGCTGTTAGCTTGCACATCCATGATGTGTTACTGTGATCTGATGGCATGCTCTGGGCTGGACTTTACGTGTGGCTACAGATACTCGAAGTTTCCAGACTGAACAGAAGGTTCTTCAGCAAAAGGGACAAACTCATTCTCTCAGAGTACTAGTTTGATAAGAATGAGTGAATCAGAAATTGGCTCTCTAAAATGGGAATATTAAGATATGAGGCATGAAGTAGCTGGCTTACACTCTTTCACTAATGTTGTTATTAGAAAGATGATTGTAAGTGGGAAAAATTCCCACAATATAAAAGACAAAATACAATGTAAATGAAAGCTTGGATAGAATTTAATAATATACATACATGAAACACAATGTGCATGAATAATTGTATGCAAGCCAATAAAAATAGTAAACTGAAAGATAGTATTTAAACATTTTTTCTCATGAGTCTTGAAAATGTTGATCATATTTAGTTACAAACAAAATCATATTTACACCCAGAGGTATGAGGTTTGAATCCACTAGAAGCTCTGTTGGAGAAGGTGGGACAATCTCCTTCTGTACCAGTCAGATCTGATTTGATGGTACACACACACACACACACGAATATAAAATAAATAAATAAAAGAAAAGAAAAGAAATAAAACAAAAGTGATGTTTACAGGTATCAAGAGTTAGAATTTCAACATATTTTTCAAGGTGACAGGATTTAATCCATAGTCTTACAGATAACAACACAGGAAGCACCTTGGGAACGAGAGAGAGAGCGAGTGGACATCAAAGCTTGTATCTTGCCTTTCAGGAAAATGGCAGACAGTTTTTGCTTAATGATGCATGTCTGGGCCTGGAAACCCTTCAATGAGGCCTGGTGCATGGGAAAATCAGCCTGCAGGGTCAGGAAGTTACCCAGGAGCTGCCTATCCTGGGGCCTACCCTGGGCAGGCACCTCCTGGCACCTACCCTGGCCAGGCACTTCCAGGGGCTGTCTACCCTGGCCCACCTGTACCTGGAGCCTACCCAGAACACCCAAGCAGACCTGGGACCTACCCACCTTCTGGACAGCAAAGTGCTCCTGGGCCCTACCCTGCTGCTGTTCCCTTTGATCCCCTGGAAGAACCACTGACTGTGCTTTAGGACCTGCCTTTTCCAGGAGGAATTGTGCCTCGGTTGCTGATAACAATTCTGGTCACAGTAAAACCCAATGCAAAGAGAATTGCTTTAGATTTCAAGAGAGGAAATGATGTTGCCTTCCACTTAACCCAGGCTTCGATGAGGACAATAAGAGTCATTGTTTGCAATGTAAAGTAGGACAACATCTGGAGAAAGGAAGGAAGACAGAGTGCTTTCCCGTTTGAAAGTGGTGAACCATTCAAAATACAAGTACTGGCTGAGGCTTACCACTTCAAGGTTGCAGTTCAATGATGCTCATTTGGTGCAGTACAATCATTGGATGAAAAAAATCTCAAACAAATCAACAAATTGAAAATTTCTGGTGATACAGACCTTATCAGTGCTTCACATGCTATGGTATAATCCCAAAGGGGCAGATACTATTTTTTCAATAAAAAGAAAAAATTAAAATGAATATAAATCATGCCCATTTAAAAGCTTCATGTTCACTATGAGTAAAATATTTTATCCATCAGTATCCTTGTAAATCATCCATTTAATACTCTTATTCTAAGAATTAAAAAAAAATCCCCAAATAGATAAGAACAAAATTTACTAACTTTTGTGCACAATTTATAAAATATGCAATTTTTTTTGTAGTTTTTTCAAGAAGCTTTCGATTTTCAGATCTCATATCTGGAAATCTATTGATAGTACCAGAAATGGGAGAGTGAGTGGAATAAAACAAAAAAAGAATAAGTGGAAAAGTTGGATGAATAGAAATAAGAGATTGATCTACTTATTATCATGTGATGTTGATTAAGAACTGACTGAAAGCTGTCGCTCCAGCAAATTTTCAGAGGCTATACATGACACAGAATGAAATTACCCATCTATCTTTTGAGGAGCTGGTAGGTTTGAGCTATGTGTCTTTGGATTGACAGAACAACTCCTTGCCATTAGGCCACCAGAGCTCCCTAAATTAATTAATTATGTTAATAAATTGGAATTTATATTAGAAAACAAAATGTGTATGAATGAGTGAATGGAAAAACCAATATGCTTTGTAAACTTCACTCAAAAAAGAAAGCACAAGACTCACTCTGAATTCATTTTGGTAAATTGTGTTCAATAAAGTGTAAAGCTTTAAAAAATAGATGTGGAGATCAAACTATTCCATTACCAACTTTGCAAAGATTCCCCTATCTGTTGTTATTGCCTTCAAGTTGACTAGACTCCTAGTAACCCTATAAACATCAGATGGGAAACTTGTCCTACCCTGCACATTCCTCAAGACCTCTGAGATTCTCTAGCCCATTGCTGTCAGTTCATCTTGTTGAGAATCTTCCTCTTTCTCTGACCATATATGTTAAACAGTAAGTAATACTTCTTAAGCTTACTTTCAGTTTCAAAATAGGAAATAGGCTTCAGACTAGTTCATTTCGATTCAATACTTTGTTGAGAATTTGCATTTCCAACCCAGATAGAGTGAATTCTTATGCATCCTATTAATCATCTGGAGATCTGTAAGTTTTACCTGGCTCTCTTGCTAAAATATAGCTTTTGAGTATATATTGGGTTGTTGATATTATTATGTACCTTAAAGTCAGAATCATCTTATAGCTGAGTCTTCAGTGGGTGTTCAGAGGCTGTAAATTATATGGGAGGCGATTGCCCATCTTTCTCCACTGAAGTAGCTGATGGATTTGAACTGCCTGCATGGTAATTCAATTCCTTATCCACAAAGACAAATTCTCAGCAGGAGGCAAAATCAGAATCAAATGGTTGGCAGCCTAACACTGAACTCAGAGGAAAAAATACACAGGGAGGATTGTAAAATGGTGTAATCATTCTGGAAGGCAGTTTGGTGCTTCCTCAAAAAGCTGAACATAGAAATTCCATATGACACAGCTATTCCACTACTTGGAATATATCTTGAGAATATGAGAACCGAGGCACAAACTGAGATTTGTACACCAATGTTCATAGCAGCGTTATTCATCATTGCAAGAACATGGAAACAGCCCAAATGTCCAACCACAAATTAATGGATTGAGAAATTATGGTACATTCACACAATGGAATACTATGCAGCATGCAGGAGCAGTAACTTTGTAAATTATTATCTAACTTGAAAAGGACTGGCGAGCATTATGCTGAGTGAACTATCTCAGTCCCACAAGGATAAATATTGTATAAGACTGTTCTTGTAGAATGAGTATAAGTATCCAGGAGGGGTGGAAGAGGCTGAAAGAAGAGGGATATGGATGTATAGGGAGAAGAGGGGATTAATCATTGGGTTGTACAATTCAATGGGGGGGAGTGAGGAAAACGGAAAGAATTTGAATTTGTA